TCTTTCCCTGCTCAAACCAGCTGATGCTCAAATTTGCCCAGATGTGTTTTAAGAAAAAGCAAGGTTTGCAAGGAGATGACATATACAAGCATGTACTTATTGTTGTTTTGCTTTCATTAGGTGTGTGGAAAAAGCTGCTAAGCTTTTGAACTCAGTGTCCCTATGGCTGGTTGTTGAAAAGCTTGCCTGTTTTCTCCCAACTATCTTTCGGTTTAATAAAAAATACGGCCTCTCCCTATGAATCTTTTCTCTTGTGCAATGTGGCTGCACAGATAATGGCAGTTGTTTATATCCTCACAAATTAATGTGACTATAATGGCTAATTCTCAGACTTCAAAAGACAAAGGAATTGAAGTCATAGGAAGCATGGATTTTTAACATGCTTCCTCCATGCATGTAGAGAAAGCTCTGAAGGTCAGAGAAGCGCCATGGCCAACCTCCCAGATGTAAATATGAAATCCTGACACCACAAAAATCGGTGCCTGAACAATTGCCCCTCCAAGAGTGCTACCATCTGAGGCATGTCTTAATTTCAGAAGCTGTCCCTGCTTTATCCAGCAACATGGGCAGCCCCCACAGGCACCACAGCAGCTGAGGCTGGTGAGCAGGACTATACCCGAGACCAGTGCATTGCTCTTCAGCCAGAAAGCAGCAATGAGCCCAAGTGTCTGCCCCTGGGAAAGGCAGAGTTAATTATACCACGCTAAATGTTCAGATCCAGAGAGACCTTTATTTTATATCACCCCCTCCCCTTTTTTTTAAATCACTTTATTTTTTGAAGACAAAAGGGAAACGTCACTATGGAAACATCTTGGGCTCACTTGTACTTGCCTGCCAAGCGACTACCTAACTGAAGTTTTACATCCTATTGGATCACTGTTGGCCGTCTGCTCTCCTTCAAACTTCTCTGAATTCCACATTTCCCTGAAAAGTTCATTTTTAGAAAGGAAGGAGGAGGAGGCAAAGGGAGAATCCGGCATTCTTGGCTAGTGCAGAGCTATTGTGAAAAAGGAAGATAAACTCACTTTGGGGCAGCCCCTTAAAAAGACAAAGATCTCTGTTTTGCAAAGTGATTTCATAGAAAACACCCCGTTTCTAGATGCACCTTAATGATAAGAGAATGTATTGGCAGCCACAAGGCAAAACAAACAAAAACCTGCTTCTAGTATTCTCGCACTAATCGTCTTCCTCTCCCCTTCTCTCAGTTAGTGTCAAATGTATTTTCTTCTAAAATGTAGCAGTTACAGCCTACACTGGAGCTTGTTGGCTGTAGGCTCCCCAGCCCTGCTCCAAATAAAGCACAGAACAGACTTCCTGCCAAGCACTGGGGAAGTTTGAAGACTTTAGTTTTTAAAAGTATAATCTTTTTATCAGTGCCCTAAGCCTGCCAGAGGTAATTATGGGCCATGGCCCATCTACATTAATGCATAGGACCTACAGACATTTCAAAAGCTTAATGGAGAAACGCCATAAACGTGCGTATTGAAAAATAAATTAATTAAACTGTCATGTAAAGACATCACTTAATTTTGCAGAGCGGAAGCTGCTCTTAATGGGAATGGAATGGATCAGTGAGCATTTCAAAACCCAAAGCTATAATTTAAATTCAGGCTCTCCTTTAGTGTGCAAGTCACAAGACGTATTTATTATAGCCTTGGATTGTCAATTGTAATTGGTTTAGCAGAGACAAAGCCATGTTGTTTTGCTTCCTTGGCCTCCTAAGCTGGTTCAATATATTCTGATGTCAAGACTATTGACAAGCAAATGAAAGGCTGAAATAAAAATCATGTTTACCTGTGATGAACTGGCAAAAATGCAGTCCAAGGTAAATGTAATGCTGAAGCCTATGTATTTATTTATCAAGCAGCAAGGGGAAAATGGCAATGTGAAGCATTTAAGCTTCTTTAAATAAACCAGCTGAAGGTATTTACTGCTGCTCTTCAGGCCTGCTAGTAACCTGGACACAAACAGATAAAAATAAGTAAAAGCACTGTGAAAATGAATAGCATAATTTGTAAGCTGCTGCTCTGAGTTTTCCAGGTGGCAGTAACAATTAAAGTTGTTTTTCTTGATGCTCTTTCAGGGCTAGAGCCAAAGCCTGAGACCTGGCTCCTGCTTTCTTCCAGCCCCTGCCTTGAGCTTAGCCATGGAGATGTTTCTCTGTGCCTGAACCTAGAACCTTCTGCCCAGGGTCTCCGTAATTCCTTGTGGAGCACTCAACTTGGTGAATTCAGCCCTAAACACCACTGGCAAACTCAAACCTCATGGTTAGGAAGGGCTGTGGCACATCACGCAGGGACAACTGCCCCATGCACGCCTCTGAGGGCAGTGGTGGACGGAGGCTCCTGTTGCCAGAGCTGCTGCTGCTGTGGTGGGAGCCTGGCCATTTGCAGGGAGGGAGGACAGCACTGCTGGGGCAAGGGAGAGGAAAAGACTGGCTCAAGCATGAGTTGTCAAGTTGTCATGCCATGCCATGGCTCCCATGAGCAGCTCATCGTCAAACGTGAGTTTATTTCTTTCTTTTTACAAGAATACCTGCGTGCCTGCATTTGTTCTTACTCACCCAAGTAATAAGATTTTAAGAACGGCCTACAGTGTAATCCTTTAGCAGTTTGTTTCCAAAGCTAATTATTAATTTTCAGGAAAAAGAATTAAAAATCCCTAACACCGCACCCCCCACCCCCATCCAAATGTGCCTCTTAATACTAGACTAGGGTTTTTTGCTCACACGTTACACTAAAGAGCAAACAGAAACATCTTTTATAACCTTTCTGTAATACAATAGTTTTTAGTTTGCTATGTTATTCCTCTTTCATGCCCTTTGTCCAAGATGCACATTTCTACCCTTGATCACTCTTAAGAAAAATTTTTATTTTTGTCACCTTCTTCAGTTTCTTTTGCCTTTGAACAGGACTTGAATGTTTTAAGTGACAGGTTACTACTGACTCCTGTTCCACTTCTAAGGGTTGCAGAATTGACACTTATTTACACGGCTCATCTAACTGCTAACATTTTTCTTTGAAAGAAGGCATTGGGGAAGGAAAGTGTTCTCAACCCCCTTGCGGAAGAACAAATGCTGAGAGATTTAGATCCTGGTCCAAAACAATATGTAGGCTCCAACTCCTACTGTTACTGACATCCACTGATGTCAGTAACAAGCCAGAAGTCTAACATCTTCCCTTGATTCAGACTTCAGTGATTTCTTCAAGGTATAAGAAAATTACCATCCAGTTGAGAACTGAATGTATGTATCATCTGTATAGATAAATAGCTATCTTGTATCACCAGCCAAAAACCCTAACCATAGGTTTGACCATTTCATTCCAATAAAGCCGTCACAGTCATTAAACAGTCATTTTCCCAACAGCTTTTCCAGCTTAGCTTTCTGGTTCATGAGCCCTGGGAGCTCCGAAACTGATGAAATCTACAAATAGTCCACAAAAATCATAACTTCTTTTGCTTATGGAAAGGAAAAGACTCAAAGAGCACTGTAAGTAATGGTCAGGAGAATAGGATAGGTCACAGACGTCAGTTAAAGGGCTTAAGTTAAAGGAATACAACTTCTAAACTCTAAAAACAGCTATTATGGTAAAAATGCTTCTTTCCCATGTCACCTTGTAAACAATAAGTAAATACACAAAATACAAATTCTAAGCTATTAGGAGTGATAGTAACAAAGTAATGCTTTTGATGCTCTTTTTAAAACACTTTCGAAAGTATTTATTTAAATATTTAAAAGGTTTCATTGTATTCAGTTGTCATAGTCATAGAAATTGAGCCACTCCTTTTCACATTTAAAAAAAGTTAGGGCATTTCTCAAATGTCTGAATATCAGCCAAAAAAAACTATTAACAGTTTGTTGCTTAAGAGAAGTGTCCACTAAGAGGTATACAATCAAGACTGAACTGTACTTGTATTCTTAATTCATTAGTGGAACTGTAAGGCCCTCTTCTGGATTATAAATTACTGCATGGCCAAACGAAGTACACGGAAATGACAAAGCTAACCAGTGCTGTGAAAAGATACATCTGGCTGTAAACAAGTGAACTTGAACCATAAATTTTCCTCTGTTTAGAAACAGCCACTTATTCATCTGTTTGGTCATGTTAGGTCACGATAAAAGAAATCACATACATAGAATTGCAAGAACAGGTAGTAAATACCCTATTAGTAAAAACTCTGTACAGAACATAAGACATAATTTAACTGTACATTTTAAAAGAGGACACTGAAGAAACCTTCACAATCATTTTTTGGTAAGTTTCTGTCTCCCATCGGTGTAGGGCTAATTACGATGGTTCTTCTTCCGTACTTTGGATTTTGGTGCTGCCAGGATGAAACAGAAAGGGGGGAAAAACATGAGAAGTGAATTACAGTAATACCAGTGCCAGCATTATTTCGAATTAAGTTGGGATCGGAATGGATCCATTAATGTGAAACCTACCGTTGGGATTTTCTTGCCTGTAGAAAGCTTTTAACATTTCCACTGCTTCTTTGGCACGATAGCCAGAAACGCACTGTTCAAATGAGAATGATGTTCATGAGCACGTCTGAGAATAACACATTCCATGCTTCACAGGAATTCCTTAAGTGCAGAATAATTGTAAACAACTGAACTGTCTATTTAGGGGTCAGAAAATCTCTTTTTCAGGTTGAATACCTAATACCTTTGAAAAATACTATGTTGAGGCTTAGTAAATTATTTCCCTAATAAAAAAGTTAAGCAAAACAAACTTTCTTAGTAATTTACACGAAATTTTTTTGCAATCTTAAATTTCTTTCGTATTAAGATGGTATTTCCAACATACCTCATATACTCCTCAAGCACTTGGAAGCATAAGACATACACCTAGGTATTGTAGGTAAGATTCCTATCAGAAAACATTGGTCCACACACCTGTTCTTTATTCGTAACAGTCACCTCTCATACCTTTTCAGCCCTTCCAACATATTTTTCCAGACCGCGAACATTTATGACTAAGTGTTTAAACTTCATTAATACTAAACGACTCTCCATCCACACTAGGGAACAAAAGTTACACCTATATATCCCACTGCAACTGCCTCCAGAAACAAAGGAAGGATTTGTACTAGCGAGAATCTTCCCATTCTTTCTTCTGAACATTCAAAAAAACCTAAATACCACGTGCCAATGTTAGCACATGAACACTCCCAGTACTGGCTATACAAATTAATTCAGATGCTAGTCTCACAAACACCCTGACAGAAAGATGCTTAATATGTTTACACTGGGCTGCCAAACAGTATTGTCTTCCTGACTGAAATTCCTTCTGAGCCTTCGGACTTTAGTGCTTAGCTAGAATGCTGAAATATATTACTTGTTTTTCACATTCATTAAATCAGAAAGCTTAAGTGTAGAAAAGAACAGTGTCCTTATACAAGGCAGGATCATCTACAACGGTGTATAATGTAATCAATGTAATGCTATAAATACTCTCTATATATGTGTATATATACTAATATAATGTTGTAAAGCATCTAGATTTATGTACATTATACCTCCACTAAATATGCTTGTCCAGCCTTTCTTGAATGACAAAGATGTCTCGTTCTCTCCAGACACTCTGTTCCACTCCTTCAGTATCCTTACTGCTCAGAAAGTTCCCAATACCTAAACTAAGTCTCCTCTGCTACTTCTGCAGTTTGTATTTGGGGATTTGAGTTATATGAAGTAAGTTAATGTGTTTTACCTTGTATACGGACAGACTGGGAGCAAAGATACAGTAATTTTCAGTGGTTCAGGTAAAACCCAGTAACCTAGGAAGGTGCTGTTACAGCTGCTGCTACTGCTGTTGCTGCAGTTTCAAATAATTTTTCCCTCATCTCTTCCAGCAGCATACACTCACTGTTTTAAGTATTAAGCATCTTTTAGATATATTTATTCCTTACCTTCTTCCACAAGTAAAATTCCTCCCTTTCCTCTTTGATGCATCCTTTCAAATATTTTAAGACTGTCATTAGGCTTTTCCTCAATTTTCTTTTCTTTAAGTACTTAATTCTGTTTACGTTATTTTCTTGGTAAGTCAAGTTTACTTGACTTTGATATGAGTCCTCTTAAACTGATGCATAACATTCTCAAAGCATCGTGACGAAGCTAGACACAATACCCTAGCAGAAGAACAAAGGAAAACATTTTACAGCTTACTTCAAATGGTTCTCCTGAGTCCACCATATCATCAGACGAGATGCTCAAAACTGAGCCACAGCCTCCAAATCGCTCATTTCGACAGCCATATACAACCCGTGGAATTTATGTGAATGAGTTAAGGTATTAAGTTAAAGTGAAAAGCAAGCAGGAAGTACAGTAGCCTCATTTAAGTAGTCATTAAATTTCAATAAGATGTGCTTGTACTTTTCAAGCTAAATTAGTTTACACTACAATTCCTCCCTCACAAAATCAGAAGCTACTTCTGAATAATGTAAGATGTATTGCTGAAGATGTGTTCAGAAAAGAGATGCATGAATCCCACAGCAAAAGCATACAAAGACATGATTTAGTGACTGTTAAAACATTCAAAGCTGAACACTGAACTGGGATTAACTCATTTTTTGTAATAACAGGTACATCTAGAGTTGATTTTTACATCCCTAAGAGAAACCGTTGTTTGTCGTAACTGCACCATTCCTCTTTCATTCTCCAGTCTCTCACTATTTGCCATGCAGTAAATGGAGATGGGTGCAGACTCTCAAGCCGTAAGATGGTACCCTTGTTGGCTTTGCCTGACAGCATAAAGCCCTTCTCTGTGGGCACATGGCCAAAATAGTGACATTTTGACATACAGTTTCCCAGCATGAATAAACATGAAAGGATACTCATCAAGCGCAGAGCAGCTGCACACATGATACAAGGCTCTACCGTTACATACATTACCGAGTTTGCAAACACTTCCGTATAATCTCTGTTTTGTTGCTTGCACCAGTCCAAGACCTGATCAATTGCCACCAATTCAGCATGTCGAGTAGCCTAGAAGATGAAAATAAACATTTTCTTAAAGTTTCCATTGATTGAGAGCTTTAAGCTTCTCGCTTGCACAGATACAAGTGAAATAAAAAGCACTAAAGTGAAAATAATGCAATGCTTTCTTGAGAAGTCTCTTCTTAGTACACCTCTTTGCTGGTTCAAGTTGCTGAAGAAATTTCATGCAGCCCAAGAAAGAACGTTATGCAGCACACACAAGATCATCAACTGCAAACCAGTTTTCACTTCTACCTGTTCTTAGGCAGAAGAGTCTGCTCTCTGTCATGCCAGCATAGCGAGACAAGACATGAAAGCTCTTCTTGAGGTTTAAGGGACACACAAAGCCTACTAGAACAACTGATCTAGCCCGCTGTGCTTCCAAGAACAAGAACAAAGGCTGGGATACATTCTCTGGAAATACTAAGAAACTGCTCCTAGCTGGTACCTCTTCCTCCCTCTGACAATGTTGTGCCTTCAGGGATTGAACACACTGTGAATATGCAATAATTTCAGTGCGTTTCTGAAACTGCTTGGCCTACCATGTAGACACAGCATTTTCAGTTTGCATTAGGTTTAATCCTGCCTGGGAATACATACATGTACAGCAGGTCCCTCAAGTAATAGGCAGGGATTGCAGCATATGCCTGATTGCAAAAAGACATCAGAATATTGATTTATTTTTTTTTAACCCAAGACAACTGAATTGTAAGTATCTCAGAGGTCACAGCAATAGGTATGGCACAAAAATCTGAACAGAATTATAGAATGGTTTGGGTTGGAAGGGACCTTAAAGATCATCTAGCTCCAACCCACCTGCCACAAGTCCACTAGACCAGGTTGCTCAAAGCCCCATCCAACCTGGCCTTCAACACTTCCAGGTATGGGGCATGCACAACTTCTCTGGGCAACCCGTGCCAGTGTCTCACCACCCTCACAGTAAAGAATTTCTTCCTAATATCTAATGTAAATCTACCCTCTTTCAGTTTAAATCCATTCTCCCTTGTCCTATCACTACATGCTCTTGTAAAAAGTCTCTCTCCAGCTTTGATGTAGGCACCCTTTAGGTACTGGAAGGACAAAGAAAGAGAGGGAGCAGGAAGTGTTGACTTTAATTGCAGATAGACAAAAACAACCAGTAATGTCCCTGTGTTGCTCTGGAATGTTTGCACCAGTATATTTTACCAACCAAATGTCAAAGCAAAAGTATCACGAAGTGCTAAGGACTCTCCAGTTACAAAGCCTGAATGCTTACTTGAATCAAAGTTGTTAGTATTTTCCTTCTTTTTAATCTATTTTGGGGAAAAAAAAAAAAAGGACGTTTTTGACACAGGCATTAGACTAAGAATCAATCCAAATTATGCTTGTATCTCTGCTACACATGTCTTTATGTGACCTTAGATACCTTCATCTCAATACATGAACTTGGGTTAATGTTTCAGCACTTTGAAGATCTGTGGTGATAACTGTGAGATGCTCTACAACATATTGCAAAGGACTTCTGTAAGTGACTTAGTGGTACGTTTAATACCATTTATAATGGTTTTAAACGTCTACAGAGATCTATGTTGCCTATGCCTACATTAGCAGATAGTGAAGTACAAGGGGAGTGTATCTGTAAAGCGAAACAGTGCTGAGGACCCAACACCGAATCGGGGTGTTCACACTGCGTAGCTCTAGTGTAGTCCAACAGATGGTATATTCCTAGAAGGAGCTGGAGTGCATTAGGTATGCTCCCTGAGTGCACCTTTTCAGTATAGGTTCATCTGAAAGGAAGACAGCTTGCCAACTCTGACGCACGACAAAAAAAGCATGCTAAGCAGACACAACCAAGAAATTTATTCCATGAGTGCACTTGTGATCTGAATTAATATAGTAATGAACCCACTCAGAATAACAACATGCATCTGAATCAATATGCAGACATGATTCCTCCAGACCTACTAGTGAAATCTTTCCATGAAGGTTCCCTAGTTGAATAAATGAGATCACACCAGCTGAAGTTTCAGTGCATGCTCCAGCAGGAAGATGCCTCAGAACCACTACACCTACTGTAAGTCCAAAGTGTAAGTTGTGGCTATTCTATTTTTGTGCCCCTCAGATCAGAAGAGACATGAATACCATATTGGCTTTTCGACTCCTGAGCATGGGTTGAAAGCATATAAGCAATAAGCCTTCATTACTGGAGGAAAACATGCCTCTAACCTATGGCACTACTTTTAGGTATCACACCGAGTAGCTTTTAGGCGTCTGCTGATACTGGGAGTACAAGCTGAGAAAAGCCATGCAACTGCTGTAAGTCATACCAGCTTCTGTGGTAATAGAAGACAGCTACACAAAAGAAATTACACTAATACAGAGTATTACTAGATCCCAGTGCATCCACATCTTAAGTAATACATACTGGTTTGGTCATCTCACTTCATGAGGACATGGGAATACCAGGACAAACTCACCACAGGGTGAGAAAGGATCCAAGTTACAGAACAGTCTCTGTATGCAGACTAACTAGACTATGCCTCTTAACTCACCACATACAGTTACTAGTTTTCCAAGTTGAGCTGACTACAGTAGAGGGTTACAAAAATCAAGAAAGATGTGGAAAAGCAAACAGTAAATTGTGATTTATTATTTCTCATAACAAGTGGGCACCCAATGAAATTATCAGGCAGCAGATTTAAAACAAACAAAAGGAAGTACTCTTTCACAAAGCACATAATTAAATTGTGGAACTCATTGCCACAGGATGCTATGGAAGCCAAAACCATAAATGAGCTCAGAAAAGGTTTAGACAAATTCATGGAGGATATGTGCACAGACAGCTATCAGAAACAATGATCCAGACACAGTCTTGGGCTCTGGAAGTCTCTAAGTTATTCACTTTCACAAGTGGAAAGAATATGCAAGGGGAAAGCTTACTCTCTTCTTGTTTCTTGAGGTCCTTCCTTAAGCATCTGCTAAAGGCCCCTCTTAAAGACAGGATATGGGGGAAAACCTGACCTTCTAGGTTTGTCTTAGTATTTTATTTTGTGTGGAACTACCACTAGATGGTATTTTTATTGGCATGCTGTGTGTAAAATATACAAAAAAAGATGATTTTCGTTTTGAGTCACTGACTCAATTCATAAGCTTCTACAAACTCCTGCTGTCTTTTTAACTTCGCCAATCTTATACACCATTTTAAAGCCAAGAAAACAAAAGCAGGTAAGACTAGCAAGGGAAAAGAGACTTATTAGAGAGTGGCAAATGGTGTTCCAAGGAGAAATCATTTGAAGTTGATGCCAGTGGGGAAAAAGCCTTAACAAAGACTTAAAATAGTGCCCCAAACTATGGGAAATGTTTTGGAGACAAATAAAGCTATTATCACTGCCCTGAACAGCTTACCTTCTAACTTTTAGACCAGAATTAACACATGAGAGTAACAGGGGCCAAAGCTCAAAGTTCTGTATTATCTTGTGGCTTCACTAGTAATCTATGAGTGCAAACAATACTTCAACTTTTATTATTGTGTTCTGTTCTTGCACGATGATCTGGGCAAAGACACATGCTACAATGACCCAACACGAGATAACTAAAGGAGAAGTCTGCATGTATCAACCAAGGACCTAAGACAAAGAGCATTTTAGTGGGAAGCAAATGACTGCATCACACATTGGAATAAAGATACCCTAAAAAAGGGTTCTAGTTGGGAAAGGTCACATGTGTTTTAAGGAAGAAAATCTTCTGGTTGGTCCAAGGCAAGACTGTGAACAAGCAAATGTGAGAGCTGCCAGGGGGAATACAGTTCTGGCACAAGCTTGTGAATGTATTGCCAGGCTTTTGAAAACCAGTGTCTCACACAGACATTTGTTGCACTATTGCCCAATAAATGCAAGTAATGACACGGCTATTTTGAATTGCTGATGACACAGCCATGCTCCTCAAAAAAATAAAATAAACCAAACACAGCTGTAGATAAACTCCCTTCTTCCAACAGCAACTTTTTTCCGTGAGAATGTGGTGACGATCAATAATTTTGCAAATAACTTCCACAGTAAGTGGCAATATCTCTGGCATTAACATGTTCTGCTATGGACATGCAGGGCAGAAACAAAGTATGCAGGGTGACCAGAGACAGACTTAAAAAACTGGAGAGCTTTCAGCAACTAAATCTTTTTGCCAAAATAAGCAGTTTAGGAACAGAATGAAAGAGCACATAAAAAGGCACTACCTGCTCTTAACTCCAGTCAGTTAGATCAGAGGATGAAGGGACTTGCTTAAGCAGAAGAAGGAATGTATCTGACACAAAGCCTTGTGGCAAGTTGATTCGCGAGCAAGAGCAGAACTGTAGGGAAGGACTGCAGATCTAAATGGATAAATGATCATCTTTTAAAAGTGGGGAAAAAGTTTTCAAGGAGTGAAACAAGCCAATATATCACAAAGCTAAATTTTGGAGGTCAGAAGGAAAAAGCTAAAGGAACCAAACATCAACCTTGCAAAACAAATTACATATAAAGTAAAAATAAGAGATATAACATGTGAGAAAAGGAGTTAGAACTACTACAGTGACCTTGAGATGAGGCTCAAATATAATCATAGTACTACTCCAAAGCAGTATTAATATTTTGCCTTTTCAATAAAAATTACATAGACAGTGTGCTCAAAAGGCAAAATAAGAGTATGAAAGCACAAATTACAGCATATGAGATACAGAATTAGGACTTTATGAAATTGCCTAGGGCGCAGAAGAGGGATGAGGGGGAAAACCCCAAGTTTATAGATCATCTGCATCAGTAAAATACCAAAGAACTCCTGCATGAGGCTGCCAGTCTCACAGCAATGCTTTTAATACATCAAGGGAGAGAACCACCTAACTGAAACCTGGCAGAGCAAACTGAGTCACCATAATGAGAAAAGGAAGGACATACAACCCTGGCATCTTCAGATCCAGGACAGTCTCAACAACGAAACAGGAAACATAACAAACTTTGGAGATAATATTATAAGGACTGGTCCATAAAAGAAAAATTAAACAAATACAATGTGCATTTGCATAAGATAGTTGACACTAAATTAACCTTGTAACTTTCCTTGGTGTTCCTCTTGCCCAGAAAAAGCATTTGTCAATCTCATCTCTCCGGACTTCTATGACACATCTGGCACAGTGCAACACATGAAATTATTGCCAGTCTGGGGAAAACAGCATAGCACAAAGCACATAAGGCGGGCAAACAAAGAAGATAAGTTGCATTGAAAGGGGAAATACTTGTCCAGAGGGAACTAACTAGCGAAGATACTCAAAGATCACTTTGCTTAAATGTTTTCAGTTGTGACACTGGCATTAACTGGAGAAAAACCTACAGAAAACAGCTAAGGATGTGATGCCTTTCATGTGATGAAAGACATCATCAGAAGAGACAGGGTCAGACTGCTATTCAAGAGGTAGATGGCCTTATATACATGGGATTAAAATAAAATAAAATAAAATAATCAAAGCAACAAAGGAAGAATAACAAAACAGCATAAAAGACCAAGGAAGCTCCAGAAAAGATGGGTGGACTTAGTTCCAGGAGGTATGAAAAGCATTATTGTTATCAAACAAGTCACAAGAGAAAGTCAATCTGGAATAAAGTACACAGTTCTGGTTAAGTGAATTCAAGAAACATGAATCAAAGCTGGAATGAATGTATACAATAATTATTAGCATGAGCACAGGAAGAAAACTTGTCTTCTGAGAGGAGATTAAACAGTTTGGGGAAAATAGGGAAAAACAAAAGCCAAAAGGAAAAATATGTGCTCAAAATTTTAATACATCCAAGCTATGTGAAATAACGGGTGATACTGATATAAGAAGAGAGACATAAATGGACTGTAACAAGTTTAAAACTGGAAATCAGATGTTTTCTAGCCATCTGAGGAATAACATTCTGGAGAAGTCCTACAATATGACGGGGGCTTTATGGTCTT